GCTCACCTTCCCTTTGCAGCGTTCGCTTGAAGCCGAGGCGCATGATGGGAGAGACCCACATGAAAAGCAGCATGCTTGCCCAAGATGCCTTTTGATCCGGCACCAAGGGGCGCTCGTCAATGGGTCGTACCGTCTTTCCGGCATCTTTCCGGTCGAAGCCATTGCTGCGCTGCGACGATGGACGTGACGCTGCGCTTTCCAGATCACTATTGGGACTGCGGTGCACCTCGATGGCCTCCTCACCGACTTGCGGACCTGCCATGGTTCCAGATTGCAGACGAAGCGAATGCTCTGGAAAGGCGCTTGAGACAGTGAGCAGATGGAGGGAGAAGGGAGTGAGGTCTCGTTCGTTGATTGGACGCTCACAATCACGAGTCGCGCTTCGTTCTCCTCCGCATATGTACTCAAGACTCTAAAAATTCCAGAAGCGTGCACAGTGGTAGCGCTGAGCATGCCAAGATGTGCGCAGCGCAAACATTCGAAGCTAAGTCGTGAGTCATGAGGCGTGATGGCTTAGCGTCCCTCATCCATGCACCGCGGCCAGCAGCTCTCTCTGTAGTAGTAGTAGTAGCGTCTTTGACGTGCACCTACATAAAATGCGGCGCATGTTGCACACCCTAACTCTGACTGAATGGTGCTGGTAGAGCAGTGAAGATTGCCGCTGCAGATCGACTGGTACAGTAAAGGCGGCATCACTACGACACAGCTGACCTTGCATGCGCAAAGCGTTCACTGATGCGCAGCAAGCGATTTGACTCATCGCGGTGCTGAGCGAATTCACTCTTGACTGGATCGTGACTTGACTTGAATGTCTCTTTTGACTTGATCCGTCACCATCACATAATGCGCTTCAATTCAAAGTCACTGTGACTCTTCACTCACAGTCAAAGTGACTCGCAACTCACTGACTTAGAAAGTCGCCGGCGCTCCCCACACCAACCCTGCTGACCGACTGTCATCACGTGTTCTTTTCGTGTCGTGCATGCGCAGCTGGGCGCTGGGCGCTGCCCGCATTACACGCGGCGGTGGGCCGGAATTGAGTCAAAATCACAATGTGAATCAGAATCAAATGAGAGTCAAGTGTAATGCGCCTGCCTGTGGTGCCTAGCTTACGCCCCGCCAACTTCTGCCTCCTTGTTTCTCCACCGACCCACTCACACACCGCAGACCAAAAGCCGGCAAGCCGCTATGAGGGAAGAGCAGACTTGTCTTGCACGAGTCAACAGCACAGCGGGCCAATTTGGATGCTTCGGCGTCCCTCTCGCATCCGAACGCTATATCAGCCAGAAGAGGAGGTGTGCTGTGGATCGAAGAGCAGGCAGGCTGCTACCTCGATTCGTCTCGCGGTCCGCATGACGCCACAGCATAAGCGGCGGATGTCGCCGATGTCGCCTTGCGGACGATGGCGCAAGCTGTCATGCAGAAGCGGAGCTGGTCGAACAGTCAAGAGTCATATAGTTGAAGGGGGCACAGCTCCATATGAACACATTCCCACTCGAGCACGCATTGTTGAGATGGCATCCACCGTAACTGGCCATGCAGAAGAGCTTCGGAAAGCGCTCTCTGCTCCGAACAACGTTGGATGCGTTCGATTACGCAAGTCAAAAGTTTCGCCATTCGATCGTGTCGTCAAAGCGGACATGAAGATTTGGCGTTCATCCTTCAGGTACGGCCCGCAGCATGCACAGCCTCATGGCAATGATCAGGAATGCGGGGATCTGAGATCTGACGCCTGACGGCCGAGCATGACGCGGCAGCCAGCGGACCCGTCTGGGGATCCCTTGCCCGCCTTTGTTTCACGCCCCGCTTGCGCTCCGATAAGACTCGCAATGCCGAAAGGAGATGAAGGGTGCGCGAACGTGTGGCATGACGGGCATCTTGCCTCAACATTGTCGATGGCTGGAGCTTCGAAGCCGGCGATCAGGTTGACGAATGTTGGCGCAAGAGCGCCTTCCGATATCATCTTCACAACGCCACCTTCCATCAGTGCGTCCATCTAAAACAGCGGGCCATCGGGCATCAGCCCATTCATCGACGGCCGCTATACAGTACGATCGGTCCGATTGAAGGGCTAGGCACCGTAGGATACTCCGTTCCAATGATTGCCGGTGAATCGAATGACTCATGCAGCAGCATGTGTATCTGTCTTGGACTCCACCCGACTTTTTGACTCGTTT